TATGTACACAAAATGCAGCGATTCGTCCCAGCGCTACACTTGCATCTACGCTTCTTGCATCTTGGCGGCTGTCGCACTTTAACACACAGCACTTCATTGTATTAGTTTTTACCCAGTCTTCAACTCAAAAATCGCTCACAAATTGCAAATTAACACAATTTAAACTGATTTTTCACTAATAATTCATATTTCTCTTTCGCTGATTTGTAAACAAAGGTTTATTTACAAGTTACCACAACTGTCAAAATCGGCAAAACCAAAGTAGCGGTACCACTGACGGCGCCACCTTTGTTCGCTGCACCGTGCTGTCGGACTTTATACTGTGAAGTGAATTTTTATAATACGATATTGATAAATTGCATAATACAATACAGGAGTAATAAAATGAAAAATTAATATTTAAAATCATCTATATATGTCGTTTCAATCAAAAAGCTATAAGGTATTTTACTATTTCAATTTCAGTATTTCAATGATATGTTTGAGACCAATTGGAGAATTACATTGGAGTTCAAGTTGAGAGCTAGCATTTTTTCAACTTGAGAAACAGTCCTTTTTTCATACAAAGAAAAATGGCCTTTTTGTTGAGAACGCTATGATCCTCCACTTGAGGTACTGTTGAGAAACAACATTGGAGATTTGAGAAAAACCTTAGTTCTCAACTTAACCTCAAGTTGAGCTCAAACCTAAATGTTTATCGGGTTGACTAATTTTTCACGATTTCATTTTGTGCGCGCTTTAAAATTTTGTGCCAGCGATTGATGGGCCCTATCACACGGTCAGTAATTATCACGATATTTGGATCGCGATCCATATTGATGGATTGATGGATCGCGCACGAATGCTACGTGTTCAATATTTATCGCGTCAGTATTTGCATAATTTTTGTGCTGAACGCTTATTATGACGCAAGAAAATATTTTTATTTTGTACATATAATTTACAGATAATGCATTCCACAATTATTTTAAAATTTCCAATGTTAATTACAATTTTTTCAATTTGTTTTGAAAGGTTACGAGCATCGAGAACGAAGGCAGAGCGAATACGCTTTCGATGTTCGCATTATGAGAGTAAAAGATGTCCTGAAGAAATGTATGGATCGCGTTTTGAAAGTGCTACACGTTCAATATTTATTGACGGTATTGCGGTCCGCGATCCAGATTTCAAAATTTTTAAAAATTTTGCGATATAGATCACGAGCTATCAATACTGCATGCTACACCGTCAATTAATATCGCGATACTTGGATCACGTCAATAAATACTGACAGTGTGACAGGGCCCAATAGCGATTAATAAGTACTTTCGTATGTTTCTTTGATAAATTCCTATATTACATTTAAAAAAATGCTCATATATTTATACGTGTCTAATTAAGAAATACTTTAATTGGTTTATGAGTATGTAGTGTACATATGTGTTACGCTACAAGTATTACGCCAGAGATTCTAATTCATGTTAATATTTTAGAGTAATAAACGAACGAAGCTTGTGCTGGAGGTATTCTGATAAACTGGTAGCGGGCGCAGTGAAATTAAATTTAACTTTCCTTACAATATTTGTGAAAAGAAAAATGTAAATATATCGTCACCTGAAACGCGAAAAGACGTAACAACATCGTAACTGAAATGTAAAAATCCGTACTAAATTTTATTATTTTTTTTCATTAAAAGATGTGGAAGTTGTATATGTGATTAAATTCTTACCTTATATTTGTTTTGTAAACCACCATCGAACTGCCATCGATGTAGTTTTTCGAAACATCGATTCTTCAAACATCGATGTTTGCACCGTAACTTACATTCCTAGTAGGCATCCTGAAAAAACATCGATGTATCGAGCAACATCGATGGTCGGTCGTGGCTTCTAACATCGATGTTTGTCGATTAAGTCAAACATCGATGTTTTGAAAAATATCGAAGATGTTTCTTTACTAATATTCAACCATTTCACTTTGGCTGCGTTTCTTTATACATTTCGGATAATCCAATTTCACAGCCGGAATAAACAGAATGCGTTTGAGATATACGTTATAATATCATCAGGAATGTTCTAAAGAATAAGTAAACAAAAAAGTTTATTCCAAACGCTCAGAATGAATAAAGAAATGCAGCCTTTGTGTGCGTTTGCTATTTTGAGTGAGCGTTTGATAAAAAAGTACTTTCATGGAATCATGCCCACGTAAGCTCCTTTGATAAATTCGTAAATTCCAATTAATAAATGTAAATGCATATACTTTAAGTAAGAGTTATTTAAGTAAGAGAATTTTAATACCGTCCGCTGCCGCAAGGTATAAGGCATATGAGTAAGTAAAATTCCTTCAATTTTCTGTTACAATTTATTTTTGTTTTTATAGGAAAAAAGTTCCGAATCCGCTGTTGATAAACATAGTTTACCAGACTAACATAAGAAAGCTGAAAAGGATGCTCACAGTTGATAAAATTACCGAGTACCAACTAGCAGTTTACCAAGTACCAACCAGCAGGTGTGAAGACCCTAACTATTTTGCTTTGACAACTGAGTTCGATACCTTTCCGATTAAAATAGATATGGCAGCAGTTTATTCGTTACACCCGATTTACAACTTCTTGAAAGCATGACAAAAACATTACAAAAGGTAAAACCATTGAGGAAGTCTGACGTTTGCATGTAATATTATTTTGAAATTGAAAACTGAAACTCACACACACAAACGTAAAAAAATATCATGGCCAACGAAATGAGAGAATGATTTTAATTGGTAATGTGTTTATCATTCTTGAAAGCATTCTTGCTCGCTCTCTTTTGTGCTTTATATTTGCTTTTACACGCTTCAATTTTGAGAGTTTAAGTTTTTGGTTCTTAAAATGGGAAACAACGAAAGTCGAATAGTAACTAGATCTGAATTGCATACAAATGAGGAAAAGTACTTGAAAATCTCGTTTACGTGAAGATGCTACATCCTACACAAGTGAATCGCAGAAAGTAGGAAGCATACTTTTTCTCGCATGTCAAGTGGTTCGCGAGCTCTCGCTTGCTTTCAACTGTCATTTTTGTTGTTTAGAAGCAATTTTATAATTTCGCAGAGTTCTTCAGAATATCAACATCGTTTATTTTGTTGGCAAACACAAACTTACACCCAAAATTGTTTTGCACGTCTTTTTCTATCTTTTATACGCAGGTTTTTCCAATTTTTTCTAGCTTTTATGGGCACTCAAGTCTCGATCCTTTCTTGGCAACATTTTACAAATGAAAAATATGCTGTCAAATGCCCAGTCAATAAATCATTATCTCGCTTGCTAGAAAATGAAGTACAACTCTGGCGGGATTTTCAGCAGGTGAAGATGGTCAGTAAGACTAATTAAGTCAAGGTGAATCCTATAAGATTCTTCGTTAGGTAATTAAAAGTGTAAAATTGTGGTGCTTGTGATGTAAACAAACGCTCAGCTGACGAACCCGCTTCCACGAATTTTTTTTCTCAAAATTAGTTACAAATACAACGTCGCGTTTTTACGTGATCTTGTATTTTTGGTTCATGCTTGCTATACAGTTCAATGCGAGCGTGAGCGTGAACGTTCGCAAAGGCAAAGAATTCCATTTGTATTCTTATGGACGCTCACACACATCTGTCAAAACTTGTCGTTCACATGCGAATGCTTTGCGTACGCACACAGTTGAGTGTGAGCCTGAAAAAAGGCATATTATGCATTTTAAGTGTGCTTTTTATTATATAATTCTGAAGATGTTTTAATTAACTATCTATTGATGTAGCAATTATTGCAAAAAGTTAAGTAATAACGAAGATATTGGCCAAAATAAAAAGCTCACGCTCATGCTCGTATTGAACTGTATAGCAGGCTCTTCAATAGTTAAACACTCCCTCAATTGGCGTACAGAGTACAAATCGCACCTACATCTCTAGCACTCGGTACCGTTCGATCATCAAAGATATCGATATTAAATTGTTGGTATCGCTTCATTGCACATCGCTACAATAACTAGACGTTTTTGACTTTTCCTTGTCACAGAAAGAAAAAATCTTACATTTGACGCAAGTTAATAGATTTTAATTTTTTAATTTTTGCATTTTCTACCGATTTTACGAACATACTCAATTGAAGCATAGAAAAATTAAATTGTGAAAGTGGCCACGTCTACATACGCGATTGAATTTTAATCAATTTGCTGCGATCTGTGATTCGAATTTAGAAGAAAAAGTAATATGTGCATTTTGAAGGTGCGTAACAAGTATAAAATAAGAAAAAAAATTAAACGAAAAAGTGGAAAAGTTATATACATACACATGTATGTATGTAAAAAAAAGTGCAACGTAACAACCATCTTAATGTTTATATCGATTACGAAGTCGCCGAGGGGCTATTCAATGAAAAAATTATGAAGTGAAAATTAAGTTTCATAATTGAAACTGACTAATGAGATTCAGTTTTTTTTTTACTGGTACACATATAGCCATGACAAATTTAGATTTTTCGTAGTTATAAATGCATTCTTTCGTTTAGCAATCTTGGATTTTTCAGCCAGCATTTCTACCTTGTGTTCGTTACATATGTACATGCATATATGTATACGACTTTATTATAAAGTTACCACTCCCCTAGGGAAGCACCTAGATATCTCCGTATTGGTCATGCGACAGTTACTAATTGAGGAAGTACTCGCCCTACCCCTTTCAATTACCCACCTTCGCAATTATGATCGGTTTGAAATAGAAAAAATGGTATTTGAGTGACTCTTATACGACCATCAGCACTGGGCCTACGCAATTTTCTATGGTTCCTTTCCGTGCATTTTAGACAAAAGCTCTTTTTTGTTTTCCTCACACTTCTCACATTTGAGTGGAAAATCCATATTTGATGCGAACGTTCTGCCGCTTCCGTTTCGATGGCTATTGTTCCAACAACAAAGTAATTTGTCGAGAAAAATTCATACCTCTACTCCGGAGAAGCTGTTGCGAGCAGCATATTTATGTTGTAGATCATTGCTATAGTAAAACCAACAAAATAGGAGCTGCGACGTCGACTACGCATCGAGTGGTGACGCGATGTGAGCAGTCGTGGCTGTTGTTTGTTGTTTTGCTTTGCCATCGTCAACAACATCTAACAAATTCTCTTTGTTTCTGCTTGCACTGCTTACGTACACTAAAGCAACGTCGGCGCAGTCGATGCCACCACAATCACCAGTACGGTCAACGTCGTCGCCAGCTGCCATCTGATCACTGGTTCCAAATATTTCTTAGCTTTCATTAATGCAGTGTATTAGTAATGAAGTTATGGATATTGTTGCGCGTATGCACGTCCTTATATATGTATGTAAGCACTAATAAACTTAATAAAAACACGTTGCTATTTACATACATATGTCCATCCACTAAGTATTGACAGTATCATTTGTCTTCCAGTTGCATCAAAATCTTTTTAGTATCTGAGATTCTCTGTTATTTTTGTCAGCAACAGCTGCTGACGTTGGCAGTGATTTTTATTTGCATATGTACATACATTTGTAGTTGCATATTCTTCGTGCTTTAGTGTTCAGCTGTGAAATAAGTTTTTAGCTGTTAATTTTATGAATGAATGTGTGTCCCCACGAGAGGTCAAAATGACTTTTTCCGTCAAAAATATATTTTTGTATATATTTGTATGAGATTCGATGTAAGGTATAATTAATGTTACTAATTTTCTTTTTAATCAAACAAAGCGAATAATTTATTCAGCAATACCAAATCATTTTTAATCAGTAGCAATTCGTTGTTGATTTAATTTCGAATTAAAATCTGGTAACGGACATGACATATCGGACGTGACAGATTTTTCCGCCATGCAGTATTTTTACCAGCAACACACACTAAAATTAGTTTTTTATTAAATTTTTTCAGATCCCCACCGCTTTGCGTTTTCAAAACCTTTTTTCCCCATCTGAATACGAAATTTAAAGTTATGAATTCATTTACTTGTATTTTCAGTTTACCCTTTTATGCAAAATCCCCATATGTAGATATGTACAGTACATTGTATACTGACTTATTCATCCACACACCAATCATGAATATGTGTTAATTTGTTCCTGGACATTTATGTAGTATGTCGTCACGAATCAATTAACAAAAGCAATATTTCTCAATGCAATCACTTAGTAAATAAATCAATTTTCAATTTTCCGAAAAATAATCTAAAACTGAATGTACAAGTAATATGGCTAGTGTTGAAAATTATAGAATAAAAAGTTACAAATTTCATAACATTACGAAATCATACATATGTATGTATGTACCTACATATTTTTATAATTGAAAGCCTACGTATCGTTAGCAATTGTATTACATATTTACCTTAATTCACAAAAGCCCTAACAAACACTTTTTTCGAAACTGCGTTTTACACAGATTTTTGTAGGATATATATATATATATTAAAAAACACATTCGCTAAAAACTTGAAAGTGTCAGTAGGTCTCAAAAACAGTGGAACTATACCCTTTTTTAATAATCCCTTTCTGCAGTTTTTGTTTTTTTTTTATAATGTTTTTTGCTACTCCTGTAAAATAGAAAATTTGCTGGTTATGGCCTTTGTGAATTAGGAAACGATATATTATATTGTTATTATATTAAATATAGATTATAGTATCTTTCGGTCATCGCCCTCTATTAGAATTAAATCTATATTATTTACTCATGTATAGTATATCTGCACATACATGCATATGTAGGTATGTACGCTAAAATATATGCATACATTTTTTTTTAGGTCAAAGCTCTTTATTTAAGCTTGTCTAAAAATAAATATGGGATGACACCATATCTACACATGTACATATGTATACATGTACTTATATGTGTATTCCCAATATGCCCAAACAAATTTTTTTTTAAATCTTTGAGAAATTCTTTATTTTCAAGTGGATGTACAACATTTTTCTCCAACATATTATCGTATCGATCATTTATCTCCAAATAAATAATAACAGTTTGTTGTCCCTTTCCGAGTCAAAAAATTAAATTGCAAATTTTGCTATTTTGCTCTTCGATATTTTTCTTTTATATTTTACTTAAAAGCGATTTTTGTTACTTTTTAATTGCAGAATGCCCATTCAGGCGCCTTCATGGACAGATTTTCTCTTTTGCCCAATTTGTTGCAATGAATTTGCTGTTAATCACCGTCTACCAATAAGTCTGGGATGTGGTCATACAATATGTCGCCAGTGTCTGGCCAACTTACACAACCGCCAATGCCCCTTCGATCAAGTAAATTAGTTTATATATATATCGTCGTTTAAAGTACAAAACCGCGTATATGAGGTTGCATAAATTATTTTCTAGAGAGTAAAAACACTCATATTTCAAAATGATTCTCTGTCGCATTTCTGGCTAGTGTATTTCAGGACGAATGGATAAGGCTTGAGCCAAGAGCTTGTGTCAGCAAATCCAATTTTTGGCAAAAAAATGTTAGTTACGCGGTTTTGCAGAACGACGATACGCGGTTTTGTACTTTAAACGACGATATGCATACATATAAGTCCAAATGTGATTTAATTGATTATTAATTTTAGACCACCATCACAACCGATGTCGACAATTTGCCTATAAATAACGCTTTATTGCAGTTGGTTAGCACCAACTCAAATAACAACAGTAACAACAACTCTGGAAATGCCAACGACCACAGAAATAACAATGGTGGCGGAAGTGAAGGCCCCTCAAGATGTGACGTCGACTCGAATGCGGTGGCTAGACATATACCTCCAAGTGTACGCCAGCTAAATCCGGAAGATCTGAAATGCTATAACTTGGCAAACAAGTGTATAGAAAGTCTGGCGCTGTATCTGAAATCCCTTGTTACCAACAATGGCAGCTTTGGAAGTCCACTTTCGCGACCGATGCAACGAAAACTTGTTACTTTAGTTAACACACAGTTAATGGAGCGCGAAGGACGTGAGCGCGTGTTGCGAGCGGCACGGTCTCTAGGCGAACGCACTGTTACCGAACTAATTCTGCAGCATCAAAACCCACAGCAGCTAAGTTCGAATCTATGGGCAGCTGTTCGCTCACGTGGTTGTCAATTTTTGGGCCCCGCAATGCAAGAGGAAGTTCTGAAATTGGTTTTACAGGCACTGGAAGATGGAACGGCTTATTCTCGGAAAGTTTTAGTGATGTTCGTTGTCCAGAGATTAGAACCTCGATTTCCGCAGGCGTCAAAAACAAGTATCGGGCATGTTGTACAGTTATTGTATCGCGCCAGCTGCTTTAAAGTATCGAAACGCGAAGCCGACTCGTCTCTAATGCAGTTAAAGGAAGAGTTTCGTACTTACGATGCACTTCGACGTGAACACGACGCTCAAATCGTACAAATAGCCACGGAAGCAGGGTTACGCATAGCTCCAGATCAATGGTCTTCCCTGCTTTATGGGGATACAGTACATAAGTCGCATATGCAAAGCATTATTGACAAATTACAAACGCCTTCCTCTTTCGCGCAATCTGTACAAGAGTTGGTTATTGCTCTGCAACGCACGGGCGATCCGGCAAATTTATCCGGTTTGCGAACACATCTCAAGCATTTAGCCGGCATCGATCCTTCGCTAGAGAGTCCGCCATCATCATGGCAGGATGTGAGTAAAGCATTGGAAGCTGTTCATGAGGTCGTGGTGGGACTGGTGGAGTTCGTACAACACCATGGAAATCGCAAGCTGCAAGAGTACAGTACTGGTCAGACGAGCACGAACACGAAGTATAAAATAAGTTTGTGCCGTGATTTGACGGTGAGACGCAATTGCCCTCGTGGTTCAAGTTGCACTTTTGCACATTCAGAAGAGGAATTGGAGAAATACCGTGCTAAGAATCGTAAAAGTACGAAACTTGGCAGCAGTAGTGATCACACCGGTGCAGGGCCTATTGCCAGTGGAAACGTAAATAATGCGAACAATGCGAAAGGGGATTTTCCACCACACACGCACTCGCATAACCTGGGACACAATCACCACAATCCTCATCCGGCCGCTTTGCTCCATCCTGGAAACGAAAACTCCGCCCCAGTTTCTGCAACAACATCGCCATTTCGATTCGGCGGCCCCCCACCTATGCACGGCAAATTGCCTCGCGGTAGCTATGGCGATACTTCGTCATCTTTACATGCGCACGGCCCACCAGGCTCACACCATCAGATACGAGCCTTGCATCACAGTCCCATACCGTTAAACAATGGGCCAACTATACCGGGTCCAACCGCTGCACATCGCTACGATGCATCCTCCTTTGGAAATGCGTTGAATTATCCCATATCGGGGCCTGGATTATCGCCACATATGTCTCAGGGATTGTCCAACGTCAATAGCTCGCCGATGGCAATACGAAATTCCAGTGGTGGCGTACTCTCACCCAGAAATTTTCAAACGAGTTTCCAAGCCCCGTCGCCACATCCGCCCCTACCACCAAATTTACCCACCAATAACCCACCGAAACTTCATGGTAATAACAATTTAGCCACATCTCTAAGCAGTCCACTGTCTAACAAGGGCATCTACAATGAATTCTACAATTCGGGTATGATAGGAACAAATACGCGTGCCCCATCTTTATTTAGTAATAATAGTAGTAGTGGTGGTATCGTAGGTAGCGGTGGAGGCATAAACGGTGCAGAAATTAAAACCCATTTAGGGCCACCCGAAAAACTTATGCCGCTACACATCGGAGGCATGTGGGATCAACAACACCATCTGCAAATTGGAAATAGGCCAGCGGTCACCGACATATTGAACATAACTCCTGGTATTGGAGGCTCTCCAATGCATCAGTCCACGCCCCTATACCCACGCAGCGATAGCATGTCAATGTTTGCCAAGAAAGTTAACAATATGAATATGGATCTTAACAAAACGCTAAATGGACTTGCAATAGGTGAATCATATATGTTCAAGAACGATTATGGCATTGGCGACAATACAGATATTCCCAGAGGAGCACTGTCTAGCATGCCCAATCATAAAAACGGTTTGATTGGTGGCGATTTGCAATCGCGTCAATCTTTCTGGCATGCGCACAACAGCAATACGGGGCGTGGAGGAAATTTTGTAGACAATACACAAGAACGTACTTCAATTGTACATAGCATGGGCTTAAATCCATCTCCAGGCCCATTCCGCGACCGTGATAGTTTCGTTCGTTCAGACTCCATATTGGATGACGACGCCGCAACGTTCGAAGAGCCTGCCACATCTGCAAGCATGGGAAGTAAGTTTGGCCCCATATGTCCTATGTATAAAGGTCACAGTAGTACGGCTGCTGATGTGTCCAGCACCAATACATATCTCAATAGTTGGAGCAGTGGCGATGTCAGAAAGCAATCAACAAATAAGGAGCATCCGTTGCTGGACCGAAATAACTCTGGCGACCTCAACTACTCAGTATTCTCAAGTGATACTGAGAACAGTCTGGCATTACAACTCCGTCAGCAACTACAGCGCTCTGCTAATAGTCAACAGCAACAACGCCAACATCAAAATCATCAACAACAACAACAAAATCTGCACAGATCATTGGCATTTGATAATTTTAACAGCATTCAAAATTCATTGCTTCCAGATTTACCATTCAATCATATCAGCAATATAGCACTTCCTAATATGCTTTCCGATGTCGACGACAATGCCAATATCGACATAACTAAGGTTTTGCTAACTGCGCTATTTTATATCGAAAATGTTGTACATTTTTTTTTTATTTTAGAATTCCTCGATGTGGAATAGTAGCTTAAAGGCAATGGATTCAAACTACTGGAATGATTCATTATCCAATGCAGCTGCAAACAGCAATGAACTACAAATTCAACGCCAACCGCACCACCAAAAGCAGCCGCAATTTCAGCAACAATTTATTAACAATAATAACAAAGGGCGAAATAGTGAAGAAGGTATCATAGATAGCGGCCGAATGAGAGATATTGAGCAAGAACTCTCTGAAATCGTGGACAAAAGCTGGTCGAATGCGGATGACAGCGGTATTAAGTTGTAGTTGATTGAGCATTAATGCAGGTAAGAGAACATAATATTACGAAAACAGTGGACAAACCGATGCCAGCAAAGCACCAGAAGCAAAGGGAGGCTCCTTCGAAACGATCGAACTGAGTTGAGCGTTGGTCCGATAATTTCCCAAACAAACATACATATAAATATATAGCAACTGTGATTGGAGAGAACCTACATCGGTTGATTTATACGGAATGCCGAACAACTTAATACATTCACAAACACTCATTCTTTCAACTTTAGCATAAAGTAGAAAAAACAAAAACAAGAAACAAATTTTAAGCCTAGCATATATGTATATCTATATATTTGATAGATATCTCCTAGATGAGAGCAAGATATATGCATACATGTAGAGAAAGAAAGATAGATTACGACAAGTTGAGAGGAACCAAAAAAACAGCCACTGCTGATGTCACGATGTTGTAAGTGAATTTCTTTTTTGGTGAATTTTTTTCTGTGTTCGTTTAGAAAAGTAGATTGAAAGCGGTTCTAAGGAAAATACATTTTCTTCTACCCCAAATTGTTGCAAATTGCAATATACCTATGTATGTAAAAAAGAGAGCCAACAAGTGTGTAGCGTATGTAGAAACCGATCGTAGAGAAAGTATGCGCAAAACGACTATTATTATGTAATTATAACTAAAATCTTTTGTATTAGATAATATCGATTATGTAAATGTTAGCGATACTAACAATAGTAATGACGTGATCAATATGAAACTATATTTTATAGAAATTTAATGAAAACAAACTCAAACTCAAACTCAAACTCAAAAATAATGTAATATTTTTGTATGAATGCCACCACTAACCGCATGATGTCGCTTTTATGCAGCCACCTTCCCTTCTTATCACACGATTGCAAACATACATACGAAATACTAAGGCCCATCCGGAGGTAAAAAGATATATGGTACATACAAGTAAATATATTCATTCTAAAACGTTTTAGTGCTTTGCTCACTGCTTATATGTATGTACATATGTATGTATGTGCGTACTTCCGACTGACAAAAAAAAAGATGCTGTAACATTCACTTTAACTTAAAATTTACAATACAGCGTCTTCGCTGGAGAACAATTATGTATGTATAACTCGCTGGCCACGTTTACATACACAACAACAAAAAATACAATAATAAACAGAAAACATTTAATATAATTAAATTTAAAATTATTAAAATTATTGTATACATGCCTATATCTACTATATATTATATATTTCTTAAAGAAATTTAAATTACGCTATTGTGCGATGTAACTGAGATCATGATATGACAATGATAATTTTCTGATGAAATTGACTTTTTTAAATTACATTTTTTGTCTGATAACAGATAAAAAAAAAAAACTAGAAAATTTATACAAAATATATATATGTATATCTATATGTGTACATAAAATATAAACTGACCAATGTATATGAATATCTACACATACATACATCAGAGTAACGATGATGTTTGTTTATCATTACTTCACTCGTTTATAGTCCTGTATATTGGAATTCTGTTTGTCGCTAGTTCGATTATGATTCTGATTCTAATGGTATTTGTAATTGTTACCTATGTATTTGTACACGTTGAAAAACTTGCTCCTATTTATTATTATAAATATGTGTGTGTAGTAAATGATAAAAAATTAGTAGTGAAATATCTCAAGTTGCATGCAAATAACATGAGCGAAGACAAAGTTTATTTTTATTTTTTATTTTACAAGCTCTTAGGTACAGACGACGAAAGAAACGTTCATGTATTTGTGTAATAAAATATTTAATATTATATATTAAAAGTCGTGTAAAAAAACTTAATGATTGAACGATTGATTAACTCTTTAATCAATGTGTTATTGCCTACGTTGCAAGATTTATTGGTCATTGTTACTATTTGTAAATATTAGTGAGTGGTTAGCTCAAAGTTGATGTCGCTGATTCTACTAATTCTAAGTACATATTCGATGGAAGTTAAAATGGAACGACAATTGACCACACTAGGGAAGTCGTAATCAAAAAGAAAGTATTTGAAAGCGGCATAATTTTGGTGAATTCTTATTTCCACAATTCGCCTTTGCCTTATAGCATTTTTATACTATTTATTATATGACACTATTTCACTTCTATCAATTTTAGTTAATTGAATGACTTAACTGTAAGACAGTTATACTGAGATTTATGCCTAAATGCACTATGTAGACATTACTAAATTTAGTTTATTAGCAAATACATGTGTATGTAAAAGATATTGTACTCTATTTAATTGTGACATTTATTGAACCTTGTTAGCTATTTACTTATACATATATATATGTTTATACATGTATGCAGCTAACCTCTATAAAAAAGTAAATCTATTTTTATCTGCGCATTTTTGTATATGTAAATTTTTCGGCAAGATGTGCCTCCTGCATACATGTATAAGTATGCAGTTTGGATGTCCTTACTCATGAAGTTGTTCCACTATTTTTCTCATCAAATCGCTATCCAATATTATGTAATGTTAAACATATTTATTTTTGTTGTTTTATTTTCTATATGTCTGCACCAATTCGCTGATGGGTAGATGATCACTGGTAATTCTTTTATATTTTCTTTTATATAGATTTGTTTTTATAAAATACTTTTAGCTACTATCTTATCTAATTTTATTGTAAATAAATGCTTGTGATCTAATATATAATTTAAATACAATATTTCACCATACGACTTTCTCCATGATATTTCCAAGACCGCAATAAATTTAAAAAATGCATTATTTCGTTATCATTTAAAAATTTCTTTCAATAAATTTCCAAAATAAAAAATAAAAAATATTTCACGTCTAAGTCACCGCTAAACGATCTAAGTTCGAGTATGTACCCAATAAACATTGGGATTGGTTAACAATTCGAAAATGATTGGAAAACTCATCTTTTTTTCAAGTCTAACCTTCGATAATGAAGGGGGAATAGTTTAGTATTCGATTCGAGCACTGGGCCATTCTCCAGCAAAACGGAAACTAATGGCTGTATATGTATACGTACTGGCAGTGGCAATCCCAAAAATAGCATATTTGCAGACGAAACATTTACAGCGCTTTCTCTCGAACCTTTTGTTTACCGATGCATTTTTAAAGGAATTCACTTCGAGTGTTCGTGCAAAAGAAGTTTGCTGCAGAACAGCGGGAGGCAAATTTGGTGTTCAGAATCTATTCTTGTTACTCTTTAAACATTGTTTGTTAAGAACTTATGCTAACTTCACATTTATTTGAAATAGTTTAATTTTGCCAATAAAACGACCAACTATTAAGAATGAAGTTATCATATTTATAACTGAAATTACCAAATCGCGTATCGGATATTTCTTATTGAGTTGTCCAAACTCATTGTAGTCGTGTTTTATTGTTATCGAAAAAGCATTTAATAGAAATTGTCCTCATATTTAAAAGCAGGGACCGAACATAACAGTTATTGATGAAAACTATCATGGAAAAATTCACTATGAAGGAAATGTTCTACAATTAAGTGAAACATACCAATCGATTTCGTTTTGCACCGAGACTCAAATTTGAAAATAAATTTTTATTTGCAATTTTTATGCAAAATTTAAAAAAATAACAATTATATTTGATTTTTATATTACAAATCCAAAATAACAATTATTTTGGATTTTTATAATATATGGCTTAGATAACAGTTATTGAAGAGTTTTATTTATAAAAGTCATCAATAAAAATCAGTCAGTGACTTTTACTTTTAAAAGTCATTAATATCAGTGACCGACTTTTATTTTTTAAATCAATTGTATAAAAGTCATTAACATTTTTCGCAGTTAAGGTGTTGGAAAACAAAAGTTTACTACGACTTATTCAAATGACTTTTTTAAGTATGATTGAAAAAATAAAGATCAGTGACTGAATTTTATTTATGACTTTTATAAATAAAAGTCTTCGATAACTGTTATTTAAGACATATAATTCAAAAATCAAAAATAACTGTTATTTGCAGATTATTTAAATAAAAATCAAAAATAATTGTTATTTTCGATTTATAAAATAAAAGTCAGAAATAACGGTTATTTAAAGAGTAATTAAATAAAAGTCAAAAAATAATTGTTAAAGAGTGATTTTTTTAATAAAAGTTGTAACTGTTACGGTTCCTGTTTAAAAGTGTACATACGAGAAAATGATTTGCGCTATTTATAATAGTATTTGTTTTCTTTGTCATGTGTTATTTATGAAATTAACCTGCAGTAAAATTTAGAGACAGTCTGACAAAGCGCTAGTTCCGAACTACATACATCTATCAGAACTATCTCTGAAGTAGTGCAAAACGGATGCAGAGCGGGCCAGTTGAAACTTGCGGTGTAAATGTGCAAATGCTCACTACGCGTACATAACGACAGTAGCTCAGCGAGAAGACCTCCGACTCGAGCATTTTTTTTGTAAAATATTTAACAAAAATGGGATCTGTAAAAGAAAATGAAAAACGAAAGAAAATATCCAAAAATCGAATCTTAAAAACGGTTTCTTATAAAAAAAAAAAAAAACTGTCAAAAACGGAACCGGTTAAAAACCAGTTGCAAAATGATACACTGGGCGACGATTGCCACTGTCAATGACATCGCCGTGTAAAAACTGCACAGTTGAAGGCATTGCTTGGGTATTGAGCTAGAACTAGTACTGTCGGCAAAAGGTCTAGTTCTGAGCTAATCAGATTTTCTGCAGGGATACTAGTGCGCACGTACATATGCGTGAGAAGTTTTCTGTGAGCATATTTGGCCGCTTATTTCATAAATCATATCTTTACTCAGCATCAACAACATCAACTTTGAAGCTATTCATTCAATTAATTTTCAGCATCCAAGAACACATTAAAATTTGTATATGTACATACATATGTATGTATGTATGTATTTGTATATATGTATTTATGGACAATGCGTAGGTGTAAGTGTGCAAGTACGCGTCACTTGCTTAATATCCGCTCTTAATCCATAAGGTGATATCTTAAATCCTTTGAATAGACAAATCTATTCAAAATAAATGAAGGAAGTATACAAGAAATTATTTATATAATATATGCCCTAAGGGCCACAATGAAACACTTTGGTTTTCGTTATTTTTTTTTTTATAAAAAAGCTATTTCTTGTATAAAAATTTTATGTATTTTGAGTATTTAATATAATGTATATTTTAATATGTTATAATAAAATAGAGCAAAATCAATGAAGAAAAGGTGTGAAGAAGTGGTAAAAATTGGCGATGTTACCACACAAATTGCTTACCAAACAGTCAGCTGAGCTATATTGGTGAAGTTTTGAGAAAGACACCAAAATAATTAATATCGAAGCACGAGAAATTCACGTTTTATTCCACAGGCTGTTTTATCGCACAATGTGCTCCCATGTGCTTGATCATTTTAATTTAACGAAAATCATAAAAATGTATGGCGGTTTTTTGATTCATTTAAAATAGGTAGCTAGATACAGCTAACCGATTATTTAAAATGTTATGGTTTATTTTGGATAAAAAAATGTGCATACAAATAGCCATTTTAACTTTTCTTGTTTTAATCTCTGCCTGCAGTTAGTGTTTTAAACTAAGCCAATTTTTTTTTAATATTTTATTTTATATTTCTTGCATACGGAGCACGTGCAGTGTGGTGCAGATATAACTTAAACCCAATGGGTTCATAAACGAATAAATAAAAAATAAAAATTATTTAATGCATTAAAAACTTTACTTATTGTTTTGAATATACAAAAACATTTGCATACACAAATTATATTTAAATATACAAAATACTAAACGATTGTTGAAGAACAAATCGATTAAGCGGTCGGTCGATGTTGGCGAAAACAAAGTAAACGACTTAAGTTATAGATAAATGACAACAATGTTAATAATGCATGAAATTATAAACAAGAAACTAAATAAATCAAAACAAAAAAAAAAATAATAGGGAAATATGGCATACAAAAATGTAACGAATATTAAGAATGCGTTTATATGTATATATATGTACGTACATACATATAAACATAGGCACATATGTATGTATGTATGTATGTATGTGCATTGAAACCAAACCATTCGTAAAAGCTTTATGACAAACTTACTAAAAGCGAAATATTTGTGAAACTTTTAAAATTCTAG